GGTAGGAAGTGTGGAGGCAGGAAAGGCCTGGCCTGGCTCCCAAAGACAGCAACTGAAGTTCCAGAGGGATATCTCGGGTGTGTGTGTGTGTGTGTGTGTGTGTGTGTGTGTGTGTGTGTGCAGGGGGGAGAAGGTTCCCAATGAGACTTTGGGATCTAAACCTCAAATGTGGCCTCCAGCCCAGATCACTAGAACTGAGAAATGTGACCACATAATATCTGGCTGTAAAAATTAACACAAGTAAAAGGACATTCATTTCCTGTTTATAATTACCTTACTTAAGAACACTTATTAGTGCAGAAAAAAAGTAAACATTTCTATAAATTTTCAGGCTTATCAGACAGATATATTTTGAAAAGGTTAGGCTATGTTTAGCAAGGTAATCCTCAAGAAATGGAGGACAGAATTAAATATTCCATACTTAAATGAACTTCTTATTTGGTACCTAGGAACAAATTGCCAGAATTAAATTATCATCATCAAATACAATATTTATTGACTTTCTTGAAAAAAGAGTGTGAGACTTATTTGAAAAAAAAAAATAGAATTAGAAAGAAACCAGTATTTATTAACACTTTGCCTGACTAATAGAAGCTATAATATGATATTTTGCTTGTAGATAGCTAATGGAAATGACTCAAAATAGTAGTATCATGACTACTAGATTATGTTTATGTCTTTATTTTCTACACTCATTTTTAAGCCTTTAAGAGACATTCCGGAGGAATCAAGATGGCAACATAAAAAAACTTAGTACTCGAATCTTTCCACAACCACATCAAAATTACAACAAAAATACAGAGCCACCATCATTCAGAACCACCTGAAAGCTGGTTGAATGGAAGTTCTACAACTAGAGAAGTGAAGAAGAAAGCACATTGAGACTGGTAGGAGGGTGGAGGCACAGATTGGGCTGGTCTGACACCTATGTGTGGTATGTTTTTAATTGGAAGGAATACCTGGCTGAGGAGGCTTCCTACAGTCACACACTGGGCCCCTGTAACTTCAGGCTATAAAAACCAGTGGGGATTATGGCTGATTGACAGGGAGACTGCTGGCGTCCCAGGCAGTTCCTCCTAAAGGGCTGGTACATGGGTTTACTCAGACTCACTCCCTCTGAGCTTCAGCAGTGGGGCAGAAGCTTGAAAGGATGCAGGAACATTTGGGGAGGAACTAAATTGTCTGGCATCAAGGAAATAACTAGAGGGCATCCTTCCCCCAGACAAAACTGCTAGGACCTCCCCCTGGCAGAGCTGACTGGCAGACACTATACAAGTGTCCATCAACCGACCCACATTGTTCACTATGCACTGGTGATTCCCTGAGATCCTGCCCCACCAAATTTGCAACCCCTCCCAAGCTGTTTGCAATGTTGTTTCCATATAAATAGCCTATTTTGGCTCAGGCTTCAGACTTTTCTAAAATCTCTCAAACATGCAGCAACTGGAGTCAGGATGTATCCTACCTCTCAACAAGTGGCCCAAGACCCAGCACTAGCAGCAGCTTGCCAAGATTCACAGCTTGGCCTTTTCTGAGCACCTATTAGCCCAACACAAGTAGCAGCCATCTGTAGATCACTCTGTAGCACTTGCTAGGTGGCCCTAAGGAGGGCATAGGGGATCAGGCCTAAACCGGCAGTTGGACATCCCTCTCACAATCTTGGACCACTGGCTCCTAACTGCTCACCTGCCTGCCTATCTGATTGCCCCTAACCACTTCTGCCTGCTAGCCTGGTCACCTCCTAACTGCCCCCTGCTGACCTGATAGCCCCCAACTGCCCTCCCCTGCTGGCCTGATAGCCCCCAATTGTCCTCCCCTGCTGGCCTGATTGCCTCCAACTGCCACAACCTGCCTCTCCCACCAGGACCCGCTCCCCTGCAAGCGTGAGGAGCTTCAGGACCCTTTTAGTCCCGCAGTTATCTTGTGATGGCCTTCTTGTGACGGCCATCTTGTGGTGTTATGATGTGAGGGCATGACACCACCTAGGCTATTCTTAGTATAGATAATATATAGTCAGTTGATAGTATTACAACTATCTCCCAGTTCCCCTCCACCCTCATTCCTCCTTTCTCCCAGCCCCTACCTCTGCCCCCAGGTCTTCACTACCCTATTGCCTGTGTCCATGGACTATACATATAAGTTTACCGTTTATGAACTTATATAAGTTCTTTGGTTTATCTCTTCTTATCCCTCCAATCCCACATCGAGGTATGCCAGTTTGTAATCAAAATTTTTCTTTTAAAATATTATTCTCTATATCTAAAATAGCTAAAATATAATACTAGAAACATTTCTATTTAAACTTGTTAATATTTATTTAATACTCTGAAAACGTGTAGGTGAATGGCTTTTTAGGATCCCTAGCATATCTTTGGAAAGGCAAGAGAATTCAGAGCATGCATTCTCAATGGGCAGGTGATATTGCTCCTAAGGGGCAAAAGTCGGTGCCTTGTGAGGGGGCTGATATAAGCTTACTCTTTTTATGTATAGAACACAGCTACATAGGACCAAACACAAATGGACAGTATATTTGGGGTATTAAAATTTAATAGGCCAATTAGGGGAAAGAACATTTAGAAAGGCTCCTTAAGAGGTAATGGATTTAAATAGGAGAGATGTAAAATACAAAGCACGGTAATAAAAGTAGAATTACTGCTAAGTAAATGTTGGCTGCTTCTCTTTCCTCCTCTCTTTTGTACTCTTCACAAAAGAATACTCAGAACCAAGAGAAAATATGACACAAGGAGAAATGGAAGAAACTCCAGAGGCAATGGCTTTTGTACATGATCCCTGAACCCAAGTATGCCCAATGCCAGTGAAATCTAAGACCAGGTCCCATATCTGTGATTTTCTTAGTCGTATAAGCCTGGCAAAGTTACTTGATTTTTTATGAGCCTCAATTTTAACATCTTCACCCCAAAGTTGTTATGAAGAATAAATGAGAAAATGTATATGACATTCTTTGGAAAACATAAACCACTCGTTACCTTATGATAAGGCACAGTTCATGCTAGTGGCAGGAAATGAAGATACCTAGTTTGTGTAGGTATAGGAAAAAAATATGGAAAAAGAGAAAACTAGAACAAATATTCCAAAATTTTATATGGACCCTGAGTAGCAACAGCAATCTTAAGAAGAATGAAGTTAAAAGAATCATGCCTGATATCAAACTATACTACAAGGTAGTAGAAATCAAAACAGCATAGTCCTGGCATAAAAACAGACATATACATCAATAGAGCAGACTAGAGAGTCCAGAAATAAACCCAGGCCTTTACAGTTAATATTTGATGAAGCAGGCAAAAAAATACAATGGGATAAAGATAATCTACTCCAGTGGTCGGCAAACTCATCAACAGAGCCAAATATCAACAGTACAGTACAACGATTGAAATTTCTTTTGAGAGCCAAATTTTTTAAACTTAAATTTCTTCTAATGCCAGTTCTTCAAAATAGACTTGCCCAGGCCATGGTATTTTGTGGAAGAGCCACACTCAAGGGGCCAAAGAGTCTCATGTGGTTCTTGAGCAGCAGTTTGCCAACCACTAGTTTACTCAATAAATGGCGTTGGGACAATTATACAGATATGTACAAAAAAATGACATTAGACTACCTTCTTACACCAAACACAAGAATAAACTCAAATGGATTAAAGACTTAAATGCTAGGCTTAAGTCACAAAATTCCTAGAAGAAAACACGGGTAGTAAATCTTGGGCATTTCTCATAGCAATATTTTTTCTGATATATCTCCTCAGGCAAGGGAAACAATAGGACTACATCAAATTATAAAGCTTTTGCACAGCAAAGGAAACCATCAATAAAATGAAAAGACAATTCACTGAATGAGAGACCATATTCGCCAATATTGCATCTTTATAAATCCAAGATTTATAAAGAACTTATAAAACTCAACACCCAATAAAACAGTCTAACTTTAAAATGGGCACAGGAAGAATAGACACTTCTTCAAAGAGGACATACAGATGGCCAAGAGACATATGAAAAGATGCTCAATGTCATTAATCATCAGAGAGATGCAAATTAAAACCACAATCAGATATCACTTCACATCTGTCAGAATGGCTCTCTTCATTAATCAATAAACAATTAAGTGCTGGCCAGGATGTAGAAAAAAAGGCAACCCTTGTGTACTGTTGGGAATGCAGAGAGGCAGCCACTGTGGAAAGAGTGTGGAGTTTCTTCAAAAAAATTAAAAATAGAACTGTCTTATGACCCAGCGATTCCACTTCAGGAAATTTATCCAAAGAAATCTGAAACCCTCGTTTGAAAGAATGTATGCACCCCTATTTTATTACAGCATTATTTACAGTTGCCAAGATTTGGTATCAGCCCAAGTGTCCATGAGAAGATGAGTGGGTAAAAAGCTGTGATTCATTTATACAATGAAATACTACTCAGCCATGAAAAAGGAGGATCTCTTACCCTTTGAGACAGCATGGAGGGACCTGAGGAGCATTGTGCTAAGTTAAATAAGCCAGGCAGAGAAAGACAAGTGTCATATGATTTTACCCTCAGGTGGAATCTAATGAACAAAATGAACTACTGAGCAAACTAGAGACAGACTCATAGATAAGAGGGCAGGCTGACAGGTGTCAGAGGCAGTTGCTGGGAGAGTCGGGTGGAGAAATTGAGAAAAAAAGAAAAAGAATTCATGGATAGGGACAACAGTGGTTGTGGGGGGAAAGGAAGAGGAAACTATAGGGGGATAAATGGTGATACAAGGAGTCTTGACTTGAGGAGGTGAACACACAATACAGCATACAGATGATGTGTTGTGGAATTGTGCACCTGAAAGCTGTATAACTTTGTTAACCAGTGTCATTGCGATAAACTCAATAGAAAGGGAAGAGAAGGAACAAAAACTGTTCCTCTCTAGAGTCCAAGAACAAAAGCAAGTCTTCAGATCTAAACCTCAAAAGGCAGAATTTCTGTGCCAATTTGAACCATTTAAAACAAAATTACCAGTAGAACTCTTACCGATACTTTTGCTCTTTAGCTGTAAAGTGATCATCGAAGAAGGAATTTCCAAATACTTCAAGTATAGTATCATGGCCTCTCTTGCTGGCTGTATGATACACTCGAGAAGCCAGATGCAAGTCAACGGGCAGCACCCGGTCGGGGACAGTGGTGCACAGATCATGAAGGGTAGGAATGGCGAGATCTTGTGGAATTCTGCAACAAAGAAAAGAAAGTGGGCTTCCTTTTTCACTGTGTGGTCTTTTGGTATAAAATACATTTACACTGACAGATCAGTGCAGCATCTGAAAAGGATGCCTAAATGTAGGAGATGAGATTTTAAAATGATAACAGTGATTTATAACAAATTTAACAATCTCAAGCCAGATCTTCAAAGTCATATATCCGACTGCCTGCTAATTGTCTTACAGTTACCATAGAATCAACAGATTTAAAAGCAAACTTATTTTCATCCCACCCCAACCCTCCTCTCTCTTGAATTCTCTAACTCAGCTTGTGACACCATATCCAGCCATCATGCATTACCCCTTTGCAACTCTACTCAAATGCTAATGTCCCTAAAGAGGTAGAAAATATAGAACATTACCCATTAACTAGCATCAGTGAAACCCCTGATCTAAGTTAATGTGATACCTCTCTTCCCACTATGCTAAAATTTGCCTTTTCTGCCTTTCCAAAATAGGGAAGAGGGCATGAAGAATGCTTTCTTAATCCTCATGGTCACTTGCCATTCAATGGACAAATGCTTTTTGAGCACCTACCATGTGCCAGACTACATGCTAAGTGATTTACATTCTCTCAACAATGAGCCCGTATGGGTGGTATTGTTATCCTTACATTGCAGCAGGCTTATTTTGGATAAATCACAAAATTAGTGAGTGGCTACTAGGATCTAAACATAATGCCGCTGACGAAAAGCCATAATATTTTCCTACTGCTGCCTCTTCATGACCCCTGAGGTGAAGTGGCCCTTTTCCAGTGCTTCTCCATCCCCACCTCCTCACTGAAGTCATACTCTTACATTAACCAAATGGCAACCTTGTCATCAAATCAAATAAGCTTTAGATATTTAGATCGTGTTCTCTATGAAGCTACAGCTGATACATTGATGACCTTTCTTGCAATTGCTCTTCCTCCATGAAAGCCTTATTAAAGCCTATTCTGTCTCAGCTCTATGTCTGCCTCTCAGATTACCACAATTTGACTTAGTCACTGGCTTTTCTTTCTCCGTCTTCTAAACTGTGTATGGCTTCCAAGGTTGAATTTTCCTTTCTACGTTGAAAAAAAAAATCAGCTACAGCTTGTTCCTCTTTACTAAGAGCTCCCAAATCTCATATCCAGTATCACTATCTCACTCAGATCCCTCACCTTCAATATACAAAACATTGCCTCTCCTTCGCCTGCCTAGCCAACGAAAAACTGGGTTTTCCCCTGCACAGGGTGGCTCAGCTGTGCTACTTTCCCCTCCTCACTTCCAACACAGTCAAGGGCCTCATCACCTCAATCTGCGTTAGCAACAGGTTAATGCCAGTCAGGTGAATCACTACATCCTCTGTCTTTTCTCCTCTCCAGTATCGCCTGCAAAATCCTATCACATTGATCTTTAAATACTCCTTTCCCTAGCACTCCTTTACCTGCTGCATTCACCTAACTTCCTTTCTCTGAGTTTCAAGGCTCCTAGAATCTGGCCCCACTTGTGACTAAAAGTTCAAAGTATGTTTTAAATTATCACATGGTCATAAGCAAGTCAATTCATTTCTTTTTATATCAATAAATTGGGAGTAAGAACATTAGCACATCCTGCATAAATTACTTTAAGAAAGAAAGGAAGGAAGGAATTTAAAACAGTGTCTCTCACATGGCAAATGTTTGCTATTACTATTAGTTTCCAGGACAATTCACAGGACCAGCAAGACCTGTCAGTTCCTTCAGTTATGAATAGAATGCTGCCTGTCTTTTTGTCCACATCTAACAGCCATCAAACAATACCTCCAAGACAAACTTTGTTTTCCTTTTTCATAAATATCTCTTTTCACTCACTGTCCTATTCTCTTGCCACCCATTCTGACCATTTATCTAATAGGTTAATGCAGGTCTGCCCACCAATTGCTTCACATGCCTGGATAGTAGCATACCGTAATATAAAGAACATAGTGTTTGGAAATGGCAGGCCTGCATCAGAATCTCAGCTGAACATTTGCAAGCTGTATCATTGACCTTTCTAAATATCTTGCAAAATGAAAATAAAAATCCGTTTTACCCTAACTGGTTTGGCTCAGTGGATACAGCATCGGCCTGAGGACTAAAAGGGCACATTCATGGGTTATGGGCTCAATCTCCAGTGAGTGCAAGAGGCAGCCAATCAATGATTCTCTCTCATTATTGATGTTTCTATTTCTCTCTCTTCTTTCCCTTCAAAACTTTTGCCTCTGTAATAATTGATGACAGTGCTTGTTTTATTTGTATGGCTATAGTTACTTTCACTGCACAACACCTAACCCATTGCTAGCCATTACTGAATTACTATAAAGAATGGTTTGTGTCACTTCTAAGACAGCACAGGCACTAAAAAGCACAGAACATGAAATGTGTACATGTTCGAGTGGAGGAGGATAAAAAGAGGCAGATCTAAAATATTTGAAAATGTCTCAGATAGAGATCTAACTGGAAGAGTGAAAATGGGTGTCCAGGAAGTAGGGATCCTAAGAAAGAACTAAAAAAATAAATAAATAAAAAGGGACAAAAAGGTGAGCTCTGATGTCAAGCTCATCTACATTATCATTCTGTCTGGGACAGGTCCCAGCAAGTGGAATGTACTGGAGATTACATTACCTTTTTTTTTTTTTTCCTTAAAAAAGCAACACAACTTATCTGAATTCCTATGTTCCCATCATACTCTCATTACATAGGTCTATAAGTGAATATCCCTTGGTTATCGAGCTAAATACTACTATATTTTCAAAAGGGAGCTCAATTCCCAAGTAGATAATTTAATTTGGGGTCTACTCACAGGTGAGTCAGGTAAAAAAAAAAAAAAACTGTTTAAGAAAATAGAAGCAAGGAATAAAAGATTTTCAGAAATATAGTTTCCAAAATTCTTTTATTATATAATTTTTAATATCAAATTTTTATTCCTCTGTATTTCATTCTTATTTTTCTAATGGAGATTTCTAATTTTCATTTTAATGAATTAACTCAGCACTACACATATCAAAAAGATCTACAAATATTTTTGGCATGCTCAAGAAAGACTGTGTGTTTTTATAGCATACCCTCCTTAAACGGGACGATTTGTCATTCTTTGAAACACTAAGACATAAAAAAAGAAAAGGCTCTGCCTCTGTGTGTGGCCATGCTACTTTGCCTAATGCACTAAATGCAAGGATTTTTAGGGGGGGAATCAAGAAGTTTCTGCTTCATTGATAATCTGACAGTAACTATTTATTGAAGGTAAAATACCTGTTGTCCTCTGTCACTATTTGTTTTAATACATAATCTTGCTAACTAAATGAGCTTAAAGCAATGCAGATAAGCAATGGCATGTACAGGGTCACTTAAATGCCAATTTGACTCTTTCATAAACTTTGGAATTCTTTTCCCATGAGTCCATTTCCAGATACTAAATAGTGAGTAATATCCATTTACAGAGTCTGGGCTGGCCATAAAACAGTTGTCTTCCATGCCCAGCACACCTTTCAGTGCCCTAAGCAACAACAAAAGCTAATAATTAAAGCTTCTTTAAGCCCCATAAACAGTTAAATGAAGAAGAGTCTAGAATAAACCAACCCATAAAAATCCAGTGGTGAAATAAGGAGAAAATCTTTTCAACAAGGTGAATGGCAAAAGATAAAACCATAAATCTAAGTTGCACACTATTATTCAAAACTGTAGCTACATTCTGGTATAAAAAGAAGTTCCATTTAAAATGTAGTGGTGGCAGAGGGGATGGGGTGAGAAGTGAATTAAAAAAAAAAAAGTCATCTAAATAACCAGTTCTATTGGCCAATGGTAACTTAGAGTTAGGTTGTCATTTATTTCATAAAAATAAAATTAACCAACATATTAAGCAAATTAATCTAAATTAGACATTACAGTGATTGAAAGAAATAAAATCTAACATGTAAACATTTAATTTTTTTAGTCTCACAAACAGCTGTTTTTATTCTATCATTGTTAAATCATTAAACCAAGGTCTTGATCAAAAATGGAAAGAGAAGCATGGAGAACAGCATTCACATCCTAACCTGTGGGAAGGTTTAACTTAAATCTCATATATAAACTTCTAAAGCATTCGATTTCCTTTAAAAATCCATTTTCAGGTATCAATGCTACTAAATAACTCTCTTCAGAAAGTAAAATTTATAAACTAAGTTACTTTGCTTTAAATCGTTTTTGATCCTGCTTGGATTTTCCACACTTTCTTTGTCGTAGAAATTCTGGTTGAGTTTTAGTTAGTTTAACTTCTTTTCCTCTGATTTGCAATAATTCTGATGATTTCACCTTTGAAAAATATAAAAGGGTGCTGTTAAGAAAAGTTGTCATATGAAATTGGATTTTTCTCTCCTATTTAATGATCAATCTCATATTTAAACTTCTAATTTGTATGTATATTTTATTTAAAATATATAAATTCTAAAGGTGAGTTGATATATTCCTCTAAACCTCTTCCTAAAATTTTACATACATAACCTCCCAGCAATAAAAATATTAGTACCATATTTATTTATAATATTTTTTGCCTTAAAACTAGTAAAGAAGAAATACAAGATTTTTCCCTCCATAGAGCTACTCTTCTTAATTGCTATTTTTAATGGGACTTACCCTTAGTCTCTTTCTCTTTTTGTTCTTACCTTTAGCCTCTTAAAGTTTGGCATGACTGGTGGTTGCAAGTACATGCCAACATGAACTTCAATGCTTTCTTACACCTATTTTAAGCGATGTTTATTAACTTTTACTTCCATACAGTTGTTCTCTCTTCTACTGCTTGGGAAAAATCAAATGCACATCTGTCTCTTAAATAATTGCCTTTTAATCATAATAGGTATTGGGAGTACTGTTTTCCTAGATTTTCTGGAAAACTTGCAGAATTCATGGTAATAGTTGATCTAAAAACATTTTCTCCATGGTTACTCTTTTTTTGCGACTAGATTTGAGAAAGAAAGCAGGCTGGCTTTTCTTGGAGAAAGCAGAGATATGACTGAATAGGTAGAAGGAGGTCAGAAAAGAGGGGTTATAAATTAGGTAGCCAGTTTGGGTTTAGTGGGGCAGTAAGGAGAGAGCTATTGCCATTTCTTGAGTAAGAAAGTGATGACAATAAGGAAAGCTCAGAGTACAGATCATTCCATCTCGCCACCCAGTTAATGTTTAAATTTCCTCTAGTTTCTCCACCAAATGGTTATTCATTCTGGCTTGAGCGTGATCAGGAGCAGAGGATTTGGAAGTCCTTGAAACTCTTCTGTTAGAATTTATGTTTATTTATCATAGACCCTAACTAGTCTCAATTCAAACCTCCCAATCTAGCTCTCTTCCATTTGACAGTCAAATATTTGAATACAGTTGACTACCCTAAACCTGCACCTCCCCTCCCACCCACCCCCAGTAAACACCCCAGGGCCCTTCAGCTCTACCTTACATGACATGGTTTTGAAGTACTGTGCTTTAACATCTTGAATGTTTTCTTCCAGTCTCCAATTTGTCAGTATTTCCCCTGGGATTGAATACCGATGTCTGAACACAGTATTTAAGATGCGATGTGATCAGATCAACAACAAAAAAAGATTATCCTCTTTTATGGTATTTATCAATCAATGCAAACTACAATTGCATTTGCTTTCCTATCACTAAATTATAGTCTAAAACCTTGAAGTCTTTTTTACATGTACTCTAAATCACATCATCCCGTATCTATGCATTTAGTTGGTAGCCCCAAGAACAGAACCATTATGCACATTTATCCCAATTAAATTTCACCTGAGATTTGACTAACAAAAGCTTACCAGTCACATTTTTAATGTTACCTACAAATCCAATCAATAAATCTTCCATTTTCTCCTCAAAATTAAGATATACAATGGATTGGACATAGCCATATAGCAGTCCACATGGACTTTCATATCGAATTCTGCATCCTTTACATAACTAATTACAAACCCATCTAGCAGTTCTCCTGACTGTAGTCTTGTTTACAATCTGTCATAAGCCCAAAAGATAATAACAACAACTAATGTATATTGAGTTTCCTTGTATACCAGGCTCTTCACCATGATACTCTCATCTTGAACTTCAATTCCAACACTTTATTGATGTTCAGTCTAGGAATTCTAGGAAAAGAAATAAGGTTGATTTTCTATGGTGTGTCCTGCAGAGAAACTCTGCTAGTTCCAAGTGATTGTTGCTTCCTCTTATAAGGGGTCAAACACAATCCTTTTGTTTTGTTTTTTCTCAGATGCGCAACTGTATTTGTCATTGGCTTGACATAACATTTCCAATCTCTTGTAAGCCTATAAGCTCTGGCTGTGTTTACCTGCCTTTTACCAATGGGTTTTTTTCTTTTTTTCTTTTAGAGGCAAAAGAAGGGAGAGAAAGGAACACCGATGTGAGAGAGAAACATCAATTGGTCACCTCTGGTACACACCTCAGCTGGGGATTAAACTTACAACCTAAGTATGGGCCCTACCTGGGAATCGAACCTACAATCCTCTGGTGTACGGGACGATGCTCAAGCAACTCAGCCACCCGGCTTGGCTTGTTCCCAATCTTTCAATGATTCATTAAATCATTCCATAATTTTGTCTAAGTAAATCATACATCACAGAAACCATAACCATTACCTAAGAAAAATAAAACTCAGATTTGCCATTGTCAGTCTCTAGACATCTATAATAGCACCTCCCTCACCCATTGTAGCAACTGCTGACAGAGAGAGGCCCAGCAGGCTTAAACCTATCTACCCAAGCCAACTGGTAACTCTTGGAATCTTTTACCAATCTTGAGCTTCACGTTTCTTTTATCAATTCTTTTTCTCTTCTCTCTAAACTAAAGATCATTCTCCTTGTCAGATTTAAGAGAAATCTGTTCATCAGCTTCCTTCTCTCTGTCATATTTCTATTTATTTAAAACCTCACCCTTTTTCCAAAAATAAATTAAGGCAGCTCTGTCATATGCTGTCATCACATTATTCATCTTTGCTCCAAAACTAACATGGGAAAAAAAGTACTTTTTTTTTTTAATTTTTAGCATTATTCACAGGCCTCAACCCATTCTGGATCTTAGACTTCTAGGAATAATTGTTATAGCCACATGCCACTTTTATGTCTATGTATGGATATGTATTTCTTCTTTCATCTTGTGTACATTTTTAAAACTGAATGCAATAGATCATTCATAATTATTTTATAAGAATTTGGGAGGCCTTGGAGCATCCCACATCTCTTTTTTAAAAACTAAAACATTTTTTATTGATTTTTTTAAAGAGATAGTGTGAATAAGAGAAAAACATTGGCCCACTGTTCCTCCTATATATTCATTCATTGGTTGCTTCTTGTATGTGCCCTGACCAGGGATTGAACCTGCAAACTTGGGAGTATAGGCACAATGCTCTAGTCAACTGAGCTATCCAACCACATCACTGAAATGTCCTTCTTTTTAGAATCTCACACACTAATAAAATAGAAACATGCAAATTGGCCATCACTTTGCTACACCCACCAGCCAATCAGGAGCAAGTATGCAAATTAACCCAACAAAGATGGTGGCAGCCACACAGCTAGAGCGAGCAGGAGGCTTGGGTTTCCCCCAGCCATGGAGGAAGCCAAACTTCCTGCCCACCCTAGCTGGCCCTGGCCTCCACTCAAGGCTACAAAGTTTCAATTATAGAAGATAAATAAATCCCAGCCAGCCCTGGCCTCCTCTCAAGGAGGGGGAGAGGAGAGGAGAGGAGAGGAGAGGAGAGGAGAGGAGAGGAGAGGAGAGGAGAGGAGAGGAGAGGAGAGGAGAGGAGAGGAGAGGAGAGGAGAGGGGGAGGAGGGAGGAGAGGGGGGGAGGGGAGGGGAGGAGGGGGAGGGGAGGGGGGGGAGGGGAGGAGAGGGGGGCAGGGGGGGGGAGGGGGGGGGGGAGGGGAGGAGGAAAGGAAAGTAGAAGTAGAACAGGAACAAGACAAAAGGAGAAACAAGAAAGAAAAGAAAGAAAGAGGAGAAAGAAAGAAAGATAAAAAAGAAAGAAAGAAAGAAAGAAAAGAAAGAAAGAACAGAAAGAAAAGAAGAAAAAAAGAAAGAAGAACAGAAAGAAAAAAAAAAGAAACAGAAGAAAGAAAAAAAGAAAAAGGAAAAAGAAAAGAAAGATTAAGAAGAAAGAAAGAAAAAGAAACGAAAGAAGAAAGAAGAAAGAAGAAAGAAAGAACAAGAGACAGAAAGGAAAGAAAAAAGAAGAAAAGAAAGAAAAGAAAGAAAAGAAAAGAAAAGAAAAAGAAAAGAAAAAAGAAAAGAAAAGAAAGAAAGAAAGAAAGAGAAAGAAAGAAAGAAAGAAAAAGAAAGAAAGAAAGAGGCTGGGAGCCTGGATTGTCAGGGATATGGCCAGCCTGCAAACAGCCCTCTGCCCCTCACCCAGGCTGGCCAGGCACCCCAGCAGGAACCCCCAACCTGAAGGGGGTAGGATCGGCTTGAAAACAGCCATCAGCTCTCACCCAGGCTGACCACGACCCCCAGCAGGGACCTTCACTCCAAGGGGGCATGGCCAGCCTGCAAACCACCATAGGCCCCTTGCCCAGGCTGCCCCATGCCCCAAGGGAACCCCCACCCTGATCGAGGACACCCTTAAGGGCAAACCAGCTGCCTCCCACTATGCGCCAGGCCTCTATCTATACTAACAAAAGAGTAATATGCTAATTAGACTGGGAGACCTTCCAGGAGACCTTCCGGATGTTCTTCTGGACAAAGCCATGGTGGTGGCGCTGAGGTAGAGGTGGTCAGAGGCCAAGAGGGGAGGACAGTTGTGGGTGACAAGGCCAGGATGGGACAGCAGTTGTGGGTGTTCAGGTTGGTGGGGGGCAGGGCCATTGGGAGTAAGTAGACCAGCAGGGGGACAGTTGCGGGCAGGCAGGCTGTCAGTGGGTGTCAGTTAGAGGTGATCAGGACAGTGCGGGGAGGACAGTTTGGAGTGAGCAGGCCAGCAGGGGGGCAGTTGGAGGCAAGCAGGCAGGTGGGGAGGGAAGGTAGGAGTGAGCAAGCCAGCAGGAGGGATAGTTAGGGGTGATCAGGCTGGCAGGAGGCCATTTGGGGGCGAGCAGGCCAGTGGTGGGGATAGTTGGGGGCAAGCAGGCTGGCATGCAGAGTGGTTAGGGGCAATCAGGCAGGCAGGCATGCAGGTGAGCGGTTAGGAGCCAGCAGTCCCAGGTTGCAAGAGGGATGTCTGACTGCTGGTTTAGGCCTGATCCCTGTAAACTGGCAGTAGAACATCCTTCTAGGGGTCCCAGATTGGAGAAGGTTCAGGCTGGGCTGAGGGACACCTCCTCCCCTCACCCCTCTGCACATTTTTCATGCACCAAGCCTCTTAAATCTTTTTTTATAGACTTTTGACTTTTTTCCTCCTAAAATGCTCAACAATCCTCTGCTGGGCTCTCATGTCAGTCATTTCTTCACAAAATCTTCATTATCTAATTTCTCCTTTTGTTAGTCATGACTTAGATCAGAATCTTAATAATCTCTAGTATACTAATGAGCTTACAAGAATAGAAACGACCAATAGAATACAGATTGACCAAAGTTTCTACTTTTTAACTGAAACAGAACTTATGGTATATATGTGAGCAATAAAAGTTCTGCACTGCTACTTTAACACATCTCTGTGCTAGTTCTATTAGCTATGAGCTAGGTAAAAAAAATATATTTTAGCCCTAACTGGTTTGGCTCAGTGGATAGAGCGTCAGCCTGCAGACTCAAGGATCCCAGGTTTGATACTGGTCAAGGGCATGAATATACCTTGGTTGAGGGTACATTCCCAGGAGGGGGTGTGCAGGAGGCAGCTCACTGATGTTTCTAACTCTCTCTCCCTCTTCTTTCCTCTCTGTAAAAAAAAAAAATCAATAAAATATTATACATATATATATATATATATATATATATATTTTTTTTTTATTTTTTTTTAAGTGGTCTTCTTCTCCCACTGATATGGCCTGAGGTATATCGTTCTTCATTTCTGTGACAGAGATGCTGGAGACTAACGTTATGGCCTCAAATGTCCAAACAGGGTAACTGATCTTGAGATGTTAACATAAATAAATACATATTCTTGGTGAAGACTTAGTGGGATGAGTCACAGGAACACTTCCAATGCTATTTCCTATGGCATTTCTGGGATATTGTGGGATATTGTGCCCCACAATATCCCACAACAATGACAAAAAAAAAAAAAAAATGCTGTATCAGACATTCTCTTCTCCTTCCCTTGAAACACTTCTGTTCCCAGTTTAGAGCTCTTTTAATTCATTCTCCAAGTCTCTCTTGTCAAATAATTCTTCCTAGTTTCATGAAGGACACCAATGCCTAGTCATTTTTGCTTCTGAGAGTATGTGTTCTTATACTTAACCAGATACATATTAATTATTGCTATGAAAGGGCAGCACCGATAAGTAGTAAAAAGTGAACGTTCCAGAATTAGACACCTCAGTTCAAGTTTGCAGCTACACTTTAACTGATGTTTGTACTTGGGCAAGTTATTTACCTTCTTTATGACTTATGACTTATTTTTTTCAACTATAAAATGAGAGTAATAATAGGGTTATTACTAGAAAAAGTAAGATAAATCACGTAGAACACTTAGCAAAATGGTTCCCACATAGTCAACACTTAATAAATTCTAGTTACCTAAAGAAAAGACTGCCACTTTTTATTTAAAAATACATAATTTTGAATAACTTCTTAATAGCAGCCAATATAAGCCAAAAGAATTAACATTTGGGGGGTTTTCTAATGAGGGATTTAAATTCCTGATTGGCCATGGTAGTTAAATCATTGTTCAGAAAATCCATTTGTCTTTGGCACATTTAGTAGCTAACCATTTTCTTCTCATGACCATATTTTATTCCCAAAGTCCCAGGGTCCAGGTGGAAGAATAAGTGACCCCATCTGTGCCCACCAGTCTAACACTTTTTTCAAGATGTCATAGTCTTTGAAGATGCTTTTAAAGGTCTCCACACCTACAAAATGTCAGCCTAAGGAATATCTAGTTCAAAATAAACTCATTTATTTAAGCCAAAGGATGGCCCAAATTAAAGAATAGTACTAAGTAAATATAGTAAGGTAATATGTAAATATGGTGTTTAAAATTATTTAAATTATAAATAAATAAAATGAATCTGGAAAACATTCTCACAATAGGAAAACACTTAGGGGTTAGGATAAACCTAAAAAAGACAACAAAGTTATAAATGCTACAACATATATCAGTCCTGACCCCAGGGCTACGGTTCCTGATTCCCTCAAGATGGTAAGAAAAATCAGTCTGAAAACCCTGGGAATCCTTCCTTCCTCAAAAATCTCTCTTGTCCTAGCCAGTTTTGCTCAGTGGGTAAAGGCACTGGCCTGTGGACCAAGTTCCCGGGTTTGATTCTAGTCAGGGGCATATACCTTAATTCCAGGCTGCTCCCGGGCCCCTGTAGGAGGCAACCAATCAATGTGTTCTTCTCACATTGATGTTTCTCTCCATCTTTCCCTTTCTCTTCCACTCTCCCTAAAAATCAATAAAAAAATATCCTTGGGCAATGATTAATAGAGATAGAGATAGAGATAGAGATAGAGATAGAGATAGAGATAGATGATATAGATATAGATATAGATAAGATATAGATTATAGATTATATAGATATAGATATAGATGTAGATATAGATATAGATAGATATAGATATAGATATAGATATAGATATAGATATAGATATAGATATAGATATATAGATACATAGATATATAGATATACATTGTAGATATATATTTTTTCTCCCCAGAGTTGTGATTAGGTTTGAGACTAAAAGCTTTCAAACAAAATAGATGTTCCATTTTCCCAAATAGGCAATTTGTACATCAGGAGCCTTTTTTCAGGATTAACTCCCCCCGTATTCTTTGGCCCTTGCCTAGGTCATTTTTTTACACCTGCACATCCTCAACTCACATAATTCTGTTTTCAATATAATAGTATTTTACCTTTATAGATAACTGTTTGGCTTTTTCTGATCCACCTATAAACTGTTTATCTTCCAAGGGTTTATTTGAGTCACCAGCTTGCTGAACTTCTGAAGATTCCTGAGGTTTAAATACCCCACTTTCTGCATCGGAGGGTCCCCATTCTAATATATCTTCTTGTTCACTTGGAAAAACACTTGATACAGTCTCAGGAATTTCATCAGCCTCATTCTGTTGGAAAACATAAATGTATAGAAATGCTTTTTTTATTGGTCCTTTTTAAAGTCATACAATGTTTTCTCTCTGACAACAAAATAATTATAAAAATGCATGATTGAAATTAAAAAGAGGTAGTAAATTCCCTTTGAATATTTACAATGAAAAACTCAAATTGACTTAAGAAAAGTATGAAGTCTGACAAATTAATTTCCTCAGTCCTTGTTTCAGGAAATATGGCTACTCCACAGTTATTATGCACCAACTCTAAGGAAATAACAAGATTCCAATCTAACCCTGACTGTACCCCAAACTCATTCAGAATCAAAGCCTACTGAAACAGCTAACCTCTGCCCAACCTGAGGTTCTTTGGTCCTGAAAAATGGGGTTTCTTGATGTTCTTCCAAAACCCTGACTTCAGGTATTCAGAGAAGAGCTGGCCCAGAGACTTTGAGAAGACCACCGTGACACCCCAATGCCATCCCAAGCCCAAATGGAAATTTTTCACAAAAATATCACTCTACTCCTGCTTTGAGTTCCTTAAAATTGTCTCACACTCACCATTCTTATTCCACACAATTCTGGAAGTCCTAGCCAGAGCAATCAGGCAAGAGAAAAAAAATAAAAGGCATCCAAATTGAGAATGAATAAGTAAAAGTGTCACTTTTTGCAGATGACATGATTCTGTGTATAGAATACCTTAAAGCCTCCTCCAAAATATATTAGAAACAATACATAAATGCAGTATAGTTGCAGGATACAAAATCAATGTGAAAAAACCCCAATCCACTGCATTCCTATATACAAACAATGAAATTTCAGAAAAAGAAATGAAGAAAAAAATTCATTTTGCAACTGCAACAAAAATAATAAAATACCTAGGAATAAACTTAACAAAAATGTGAAAGACTCATATACTGAAAACTACAAAGCATTATTAAAGGAGATTTAAAAGGAAAAAAAAAGACACAATGAAATGGAAAGATATTCATGTTCATGGATTGGAAGAATCAACATAGTTAAAATGTCCATATTACCCAAAGCAATATGCAGAGTAAATGCAATCATCATCAAAATCCCAATGCCGTTTTTTAAAAGAAAGAAAAAAATCATTAGAATTATATGGAACCACAAAAGACCCCAAATAGTCAAAATAATCCTGGGGAGTGGGGGGACAAAGCTGGAGGTATTGCACTACCTGACTTCAAATTATACTAAAAGCAATGTTAATATAAACAGTATAGTATTGGCAGGAAAAAAAAACACACACACATGAACAGAAATGAGAGATTAGGAATAAAATCACATGTATGCTAGCAAACAATTTTCAACAAAGGAGCCAAAAATATAAAATGGGGGGTGGGGGGGAACCTCATCAATAAATGACGCTGGGATAATTGGAAAGACACATGCAAAAAAATGAAACTACATTAAATTTTGTCCCCATGTATAAAAATTAATTCAAAATGGATTAAAGTCCTAAAAGTAAGATCTCAAACAATAAATCACATAGAAAAAAACATAGGTACTAAACTTATTGATCATGGTCTTAGAGAATATTTTATGAACTTGATCCCAAAGGCAAGAGAATTAGAGCAAAAATAAATGAATGGAACTATATCAAATTAAAAAGCTTCTTTACAGCAAAAGAAACTACCAACAAAACAAAAAAAGCAGCCGAAACCAGTTTGGCTCAGTGGATAGAGCGTCGGCCTGTGGACTGAAAGGTCCTGGGTTCAATTTCGGTCAAGGACATGTACCTTGGTTGCAGGCACATCCCCAGAAGGGGGTGTGCAAGAGACAGCTGGTCTATGATTCTCTCTCATAGATGTTTCTAACTCTCTTTCCTCTCTCTTCCTCTCTGTAAAAAATCAATAAAATATATTTTTTTTAAAAAGCAGCCAACCAAATGGAAAATATTATTTGCAAACAGCAGTTCTGACAAGGAGTAATATCTAAAAATATATATAGAACACATACAATTGAACACCAAACAAAAACAATCAAATAAAAAAATGAGCAGAGGACCTGAATGAACAATTCTCCGAAGAAGCCATATAAATGGCCAATACAATAGATATAAATATATATATATGATCCACATCACTAGCTTTAGGGAAATGCAAATAAAATCTACAATGAAATTCCCTCCTCACACCTTTTAGAATGGTTATTATCAACAAGACAGTAACAAGCGTTGGGGAGCATGTAGAGAAGAAGGAACCCTCATTCACAGCTACTGGGAATGTAAACTTGACAGCCACTATGGAAAACAGTATGGATGTTCCTAAAAATGTTAAAGACACAGCCCACACTGTTTTGTCTCAGTGGATAGAGCGTTGGCCTGTGGACTGAAGGGTCCCAGGTTTGATTCCAGAAAAGGGCACATACCCGGGTTACTTTGAGAGCTCAATCTCTAGTAGGGTACATGCAGGAGGTAGCCAATCAATGATTCTCTTCATTGATGTTTCTATCTCTCTCTCCCTCTCTCTTCCTCTCTGAAATCAATAAAATATATATTTTTTAAAGTTAAGAATATAGTTACCATATGGCCCAGCAATCTCTCTCTTGGGTATCTACCCAAAAAAATCAAAAACAGTTATTTGCAAAGATTAAATGTCCACATTATTCATAGTAACCAAGACATAGAAACAACCAAAATGTCCTCTGATAGAGGACTGAATAAAGAAAATGTGGTACATGTATACTATGGAATATTATTCAACCATAAGAAAAGATGAAATACTGCCACTTGCAACATGATTAGACCTTGAAAATATTATGCCAAGTAAAATAAAGTCAGTCAGAAAAAGCTAAGAACCATAAGATTTAATTTATATATGGGATATAAATCTGAAACTCATAGACACAGACAATAGTATGATAGCTACCAGTGGGATGAGACAAGGGGCATAGGATAAGCGAGGCCAACCAGAGGATGATTTGACTGGGGTGGTGGGCACACAATACAATATACAGATCATGTACCATAGAATAGTACACTTGAAACTTACCTGACCTTATTAACCAATATAATCACAATAAATTTAATTATAAAAAGAAATGGCACAGCCACAAAACACACACACATACACACACACACACACACACACACACACACACACAAAAGTTTCACTAACTTAATCTGAATCTCCACAAATCTTAAGGAAAGAATCTTTATAGCCATATTTGGGTATGGCACAATTTCGAACAAAGATTTTTGGGATTATGGAGTTCTGACAATTAAAACTTCTCTGCCTCAGGTTAGCAGATGATAAAACCAACCTTATTACATAGAAATCTGAATTCTATAGACTGGATTGAAAATGCAATTGTACCTCTCTGTTCTTTGATACACTTGATTGTTAATAAGTAGAATAAATGGTAAAGATGGCATACAGTCAAAATGCTATAGAAGTTTATAGTCAAGGGATGGCTGAAACAAGAACTGTATATTTATAAAACACAAATTGAATCTGGAGCTCATATTTTTATAAATCTACTGGATGATGCTTTGGAAAGAGTAAGATCTTTATAACCAGACAGGAATTAATTCAAATCCTGGATCTATCAATAAATTTATGAGTGATCTTGGTCAAGTTACCTATCCTTTTTAGCCTCATTTTCCTCATTGGCTAAAAGGAATTAATAAAATCCTTTTCATAAAAATGGCAGAATAGATACACTGGGGTAATATGTGTTATGGGCTCTATACTGTCTACCTATGACAAATTTATTCATTTTATGTGTCATAGCTTTTGGCACTCCTTTTCTTTTTAATTTCTCTATTCCTGACTTCCTCAACAAACTCTCCCAGGGTTCTTGTTTTGGAATGGTATTGACTAGAAAGGGAAAAATACATGGTCTAAACCCAGAAGCATCTCAATTTCCAGTAGTTTAACCACCTAAAATAACTCTAAAATTACAGGATCAATGGCTTTTGTGAAAATATTACATACACTTTCTGAACATAATATATTAGGCTAAAAATAAAGTTTGATCTGAATTTTTATGCATGTTGAATCATATTTTCAGGAACTAATATAGGAGCTTTCTATTCAATACCTTATAAATCTTTTGCAAGGGAAGTGATCATCACACCAGCATGGTTTTACATAAATGTGGATCTCTATATACTGAGAGACATGGAATATGTTCTAGACAGCTTTGAATCCCATAAGTATTTTGATGATGATGGAGGAAAAGGGGCTTTATTTCTGAAACAAACTTCTGACGCCAATTGTCCATATTGTTCTACAAAGTTATCCCCTTGTCAAAGTTTTACACGATATTTCAGCTAAATAAAGAATAATGTGATACAGTCATAGAAGATAACCACAGCTAATACTTTTTTTTTTTGTGTGTGTGCCCTTGATTGGAATCAAACCCGGGACAATTTAGTTCACAGGTTGATGTTCTATCCACTGAGCCAAACCAGTGAGGGTTAAAAGCTAATACTTTTAATTAATTCTCCAATTATCTTCTGGATCTGAATGTCTCTAGACCAAAAGAACTGTTAAAATCTTTCCCTTCTGAAAAATGTTTGGGCCCTTAGCTCAGAAGGTCTATGATAGGCAGCAACAGTGATCCAAAATATCCAAGACTCCCAAGGTGGTACTGGATTAGGTGTGTTTATGGTTAAACACACCTCTAAAACATATTAAAGGAGATTTTTTTTAAAACTCCCTAGATAAACATTCAAGCAACAGAAGGCAGACTATTACTTTAATATAGGCAAGGAGGATTTTTATTAAAGAAGGTATTTACCAGTTGAGGTTCCTCAATAGTTATAGGTAATTCTTGCTCTGTTTGCACTTGAGATGGTCTGTGCCAGTACATTTTTCCCATTAAAGAAGTATCCTTGAAGGAAAAAGAGAAGTAATTAAAATAATGTCAATTTTAAAAATCATCAAGGTATATTACTCAATGCAGCAAAATGCTAGTCAATATAGTTCAATAAATGAGGGCTATATAAAAGAGAAATATAAGCAAGTCAATATTATGCATGAAATGAGAAATACAGAGAAAAAAAGATACAATAAAACATGTCTATTATTCCAATGTTATGGCTTTTAAAATCACTTATCTCTATAGATATATCATCATATTGAATAAGACAATTAGGTAATATTAAGTCAGATACTGTAAATCACTGCTATTAAATGTTTATGCAAGAAAGATAAAATCAAAGCTAAAATTTAATCTAACCAAGAGTAAGAAATTATATAAATATACTTAAATTTTTAATAGGTATAACTGTTTGTGTCATTTTTATCATTACTAATGCTCAATGCTATATTATACTCTCTACATAGATGAAATGGTAAGATTGCACAGCACAATATCTAACAGTAATAAAGACACCCAACTTCTACCCAAACTGTTAAGTCACAGATGAGGCATTAAAAGAAGTCATTTTGTTCACTTCAGTGTTATCTTTGTACATGACTTTTTAAGGACTCTTTCTCCCCTAGCATTTTAATAATGTCAATAGCAATATCTGAACATTCATTGTGCTTTAAAACTCTGTTTTCCTACCTTTCCCTTTTCTTTGATTCATTACAAAATAAATCCATCTGAGACCACTGACTTCTGTTTTACACTTTTGTCCTATCTAATAAAAGAGTAATATGCAAATTGACCATCACTACAACACACAAGATGGCTGCCCCCATGAGGTCAAAGATGACTGCCCCCATGTGGACATAAGATGGCCACCACAAGATGGCCAGCAGGGGAGGGCAGTTGGGAGGGACCAGGACTGCAATGAAGGGCAGCTGGGTACAATCAAGCCTGCAGGGAAGGGCAGTTAGGGGAGACCAGCTGGCAGAGAAGGGAAGTTAGGGGAGACCAGACCTGCAAGGAAGAGCAGTTGGGGGGAACCAGGCCTGCAGGGGAAAGCAGTTGGGGGGAGGGGGAACCAGGCCTGCAGGAGAGGGCAGTTAGGGGCAATCAGACTGGCAGGGGAATGGTTAGGGGGTGATCAGGGTGGCAGGCAGAAGTGGTTAGGTGCAAACAGGCAGGCAGACAGGTGAGCTGTTAGGAGTCAGCGGTCCTGGATTGTGAGAGGGATGTCCGACTGCCCGTTTAGGCCTGATCCTACCAGAATCAGGCCTAAACAGGCAGTCCGACATCCCTTGAGGGGTTCCAGATTGGAGATGGTGCAGACTGGTCTGAGGGACACACACCTCTGTGCAAGAATTTTGTGCTCTAGGCCTATAGTCATAAATAACTGGACAAAATGTAAGAATACCTCTTTTAAGGTTGGACAACAGGCAATCAAAGACTATGATGACTAAGAATATGGATGCAAGAAAAGATTAAGAGTTAAATTACCTCAAATTTCTGTTTTACACAATTTCTAGAACATAACACAATGAAGGAGAAACCACACAGCGCCCAGTGTCTTACTTAATTGAAGAGACAGAAATTAGAGTAAGAAGACAAAGAGGATAGAATTTGTTAGGTACAATATGGAGAAAGAGGCTTCAGAAATTTGCTCTTGACTCTGGCTGAAAACCAATTTTCTCATGCAATGGTGAAATCCATGAGGCCAGACAAAGAAAAACTGCTAATTTGGAGGAAGGGGGGCAGGAACAATTGCCAAAAAGCTATAAGCCACAATTCCCACAATTCACATAAGCTGGGAATCATTAGCTCTTCCACAAGACAAACAGAGAACATGGTACATTTATCATAAGCCTCAGAATGATAGTACATTAGTAGCAGTGCTAAATGAGCTCCAGAGTAAGGCTTTGCTGAACTTGAACATCTATACTAAGAAAAAGATAATATGCTAATTAGACTGGGTGGACCAGACATCCGACTTCCTTCTGTACAGTTAGGGGGTGACCAGGCCAGGAGAGGGACAGTTAGGAGTCAACCAGGCCAACAGGAGGGAAGGTAGAGGGCAGCCAGGCAGGCACGGGGGAATTTAGGGGGCAATCGGGCCAACAAGCAGAGACAGTTAGGGGTGATCAGGCAGGAAGGTAGAGTGGTTAGGGGCGATCAGGCAGGCAGACAGGTAGGCAGGCAAGTGGTTAGGAGCCAGCAGTTCCAGATTGCAAGAGGGATAACCAACTGCCAGTTTAGGTCCCATCCCACAGTTGGACATCCTCTGAGGAGTCCCGGATTGGAGAGCGTGCTGGCTGGGGGCTGAGGGAACCCCCTCGTGCACAAATTTCAAGCACTGGGCCTCTAGTTTTAAATAATACTTCAAAAGATACAGGTGATCTTCAGGTAGCTTAACTGCCCATCAGATTAAACCCTAATACTTTTTTTTAATGAAAATAACCAAATCCAGTATTATAATTTTCATCATCCAATCAAAAGTTATCAATTATGGAAAAATCTTAAATATATAATATACAACCAGGAGAAAAATAAATAGGGGAAAAAAGAGATAAGAGAGATATTGAAATGAGAAGATACTGATGTTTGGGACCTTAGCCGAGAAGGTCTATGATAGGCAGCAACAGGAATCCAAAATATCCAAGACTCCCAAGGTGGTACTGAATTAGGTGTGCTTACAGTTAAATATACCTCTAAAACACATTAAAGAAGATTTTTTTTAAACTCCCTAGATAAACATTCAAGCAACAGAAGGCAGACTATTACTTTAATATAGGCAAGGAGGATTTTTATTAAAGAAGGTATTTACCAGTTGAGCTTCCTCAGTACTTATCGGCAACTCTTGCTCTGTTTGCATTTGAGATGTTCTGTGCCAGTACATTTTTCCCATTAAAGAAATGTCCTTGAAGAAAAAAAGAAATTATTAAAATAATGTCAATTTTAAAAATCACCAAGGTAAATAATAGAAGTACTATAAATATTTAAGAAGATAAACATAGAAAGGATTAAATGTCTGGTATAAAATAAAAATCAAATGGAACATCTATAAAAAAAAAAAAAAACACATACATTTTCTGAAAAAAAAATTCATTGGGTGGCATTAGAAGAAGACATTACAGAAGAAAATATCAGTTCATTAAGACATAGGAATAGAAGCTATACAAAATGAATTACAGAGAGAGATAAAAACTGAAACAAATATTCAATCTAACATATATTTTAATTACAGTTCTAGAAAGAGCCTGTGGAGAGAGCAGAAAATATTTGTATAAAAAATGTCCCAAAGGTTCCAAATTTTATGACAACTATAAACCTAATGCAAGAAGCTCCATGAACACTTGGCAAGAACACACAAATACATTGTGCCAAGCACATTATAACCAAAGCTAGAGGCCTGGTACATGAAATTCATGCATGGGTCGGGTCCCTAGGCCTGGCCGGTGATCAGGGTCCACTGGGGCCAGGTCAATCAGGGCCGGGCCAGAGAGTAAGCGACAGTCGCCATGCTGGGCACAGAAGGAACAGACTCCAAATGCTGACGTCACCATAGTCAGTGCTCTGCCACCACATGGTTCCCTGCCTGCCCCCTCCTCCTTCCTTCACCGCCATGCTGCCACCACAGCGGGTGGGTGGTAGACCAAGGGCCTCCTTTCCAGGGGAAGGAATAGAGCATAGGAGGTTGACCACAGGCCTCAAGGAGGAAGCTAGCCCTCAGCCCCCCTAAAAAAGGGGCCATGTCCACCACCACTCACCCTGACTCCCTGTCCAAGCCCAGGGCCCAGCCCCAATTGGGCAATCTGCAGGCTGTAGGGAGGAACCATGAGAGGTCGGCCGGTCAGGGGAGGTTGGCTATAAAAGTGCACTGACCACCAGAGGGCAGCTCCTGCATTGAGCATCTGTCCCCTGGTGGTCAGTGCGTGTCATAGAGACAGGTCATTCCGGTCATCCCATTCATTTTGGTCACTGAGGCTTTTATATATAGATTATAAAAACCAGCAATAAAAAAAAATCTTATAAGCATCCAGAGAAACATTAAGTATAAATAACGAATTACCAGTGATTTATTACCACACATTAATGCTACAGACTTTTTGTCAAAACTATAAAAGCCAGAAAAACAAGGAAGCAACATATTCTAGAATATTTGCGCTGAAAAAAACACAACTGTCCACATAGAATTCTATATGCATCAAAATATCTTTCAAAACCAAAGGTAAACTACTTTCTCAGTAAACAAAATGTGAAAATATTAATCATCATCAAACCTGCATTACAAGAAATATTAAAGGAAATTCTTCAAGCAGATGGAAAATTATATCAGATTAAAACTTTAATGTTCACAATGAAAATAAATGGTAAAATGATAAAAATGTGGGTAAATAAAAGATAATTTTTTGCTTTTTAAATATTTCTTTAAAATATAATTAACTGTTTAAATACAAAATAATGTATTGAGATTTATAACATATATACAGTGAAGTATGCATTAATAAAAGCAAAATGATGGAAAAAGGAAAAAATATATTTCTAAAAGGCCCTTATACTACATGTGAAATGGTATATTATTTCCTGGGATAAGTTAAATATGCATATTATAAACTATATAGCAGTCACTAAAATAATAAAACAAAGAGATAAATAAGCAAATTATATGGAATAATATAAAATGCTTAATAAGTTATAAAAGATGACTGGTAAAGAAAAAAAATATGATAAATAAAAACCAAATAACAACATAATAAATATAAACAAAATCATATCAATAATTACATATAAATGATTCTAAACTTATAAATTGAAAGGCAGATTTTCAAACTGCAGGGGGAAAAAACAAGATCTTATGCATGAGTTCTATAAGAAAAATACTTTAAGTATAAAGACATAAATATGTTAAAGTAGAAGGCTGAAAGAAGATATAACACACAAACACTATTCATAAAAAACTGGAAAGTCTATAATTATATCAGATATGGTAGACCTCAAACAAGAAATATTATCAGAAGAAAGAGGATTACTTCATCATAAAAGTGTCATGCCGAAAACGGTTTGGCTCAATGGATAGAGCGTTGGCCTGCAGACTGAAAGTTCCCAGGTTTGATTCCGGTCAAGGGCATGTACCTTGGTTGTGGGCACATCCCCAGTAGCTGGTATGCAGGAGGCAGCTGATCAATGTCTCTCTCTCATCGATGTTTCTAACTCTCTATCCCTCTACCTTCCTCTCTGTAAAAAAATCAATAAAAATATATATTTTTTAAAAAGTGTCAAGTTCCTCAGAAGTCATAAAAGTACACACTAATGATAAAACTTCAAAGGGCATAAAACAAAAAAACAAAAAAAACTAACAGAACTTAGAACAAAAAGTAGAATATTTCATTATTATAGTTGTAAATTTCAAACCAAGACTATATCTGCTCCAGAGACTTCACAAATATACTAGACAAACAGTTAATGTGAAATGGGAAAGCCTGCAAAATATTTTTTATAACCTTTTAGGTTTAAAAATATATAATTAATGTATAAAAAGATAACAATAATGAACACCAAATTCATAATATTGTTCACATTGGAGGAGGGAAGAAATTATCAGAAAGAAGTACAAAAGAGGCCTGTACTTTTCTTGCAACTTTCTATTTATTTAAGCAATCTGAGGGCTATATGAAAAATATTAAATTTTGAAGAATCTGAGTGATGCATACTTTTTCTACAGTTGAAATATTTAATAATATAAACACTTTAAAGAAATTTCTCAACAGATTTTATGTGGGTAACAGAACAATGTTAAAGATAAATAAAAATACATTTTTTAAAAACCTTATAGTTTAGCTCATTTATGAACATAAATGCAAAAGTCCCAATTAAAATATTTCCAAATGAAATTAATTATTATATTTATAAAAATACGACTTTTTTCAATTAGTTTATGTTTAATATTATTTTGTATTACATTTAGATGTATAGCATAGGGGTTAAACAATCATATATTTTGCAAAGTGTTCCCCCCAAGATTTCCAGTACCCACTGGGCACCATACCTAGTTATTATAATATTGTTGACTATACTCCTATGCTGTATAGAAACAATACATCTTGACCAAGGAAATTTTTCCCAGAAATGTATTGCTGGCTTATGAGATCAATAGATTAGCATGACATTTTATATGATCATTGCAATAACTGCTACAGAAAATAAAATCCAATACCTATTTCTGAATAAAAAGTAACCAGAAATAGAGGAAAACTTTCTTAACACCACAAGAGATATTTGCAGATTCCCGCACCAAACACTAATTCATAATAAAATGTTATACAGGGGAGATCCAAGATGGCAGCATAGGTAAACACCTAAACTGCTGCCTCGCACAATTTCAAAACTACAATTAAAAGACAAAACATCTGTCACCCAGAACCACAGGAAAGCTGGCTGAGTGGAAGTTCTACAAATAGAAAGAAAGAGAAAAGAGCATTGAGGGCACAAGTGCTGAAAAGCTAAGGTACAGGGGCATGCATGATATGGGCTGGTGGCGGATCCTGGCTAGCAGAGGATGTTGCTTTCTTCAACCCAAAGAGAGAAAAGCTCCCCATTTCTCTGAAATCCAGTTTCTGGGGAGACACAGGGGACCCAAACTCCTATGGGGAGAAACTGGATTCTCTGCCATGGGGTCAGAAAGTGAGGGTGGTTTGCGAAAAGAGCTGCACACAGGAGCTTGCTGATCTGGGGCAAGGGACATTGTCAGAAGTGCTGGGACAGAGGGCTGGCATCCATCGCTGTTTGCCATGCCCTAGCCTGGTGATGCCCTGAGACCCTTCCCCACACAACCTAAAAAACCCACCCAAGCTCCAAGCAGTGGCTTTTGCATATGAATTGCATTCCCAATCACAGCTTAACCTAGCAAACTTGCAACCCAGTTCAGACAGCTCCAAAGCCTCCAAGCCCCAAGCAGGGAGGTGAGGGCTGTGGTTCTCATTGTAACTCTTGCTAGGTGGCCTTAGAAGTAGCTTACCTGCACCTTACTGGAGATCCAGAAACCAGTGTACCTAGTGGCCAGTGTGAGACACCAGATTTCAACTCCTCACATCCATAAGTGACACATTCGGGAGGCAGACTCAGTGAGCACTAAAGCCCCACTGAAACAGGCCTGCACCATAAGCATGTCTCCAGAGGAGCAGCTCTTCCATTATAGACACAGTGGGTCCTCACAGCCAATTGGCCTGGAGGTCAATTCCTTCCAGTGTACCAATAGCAATCAAGGCTTAACTATACCAAGACTTTGCACTCAGCCCACAAAGGGGTGTACCAAGAGTGTCCACCTCAGGTGATTGGGGAGGCTGAGTTACTGGCCCCTGTAGATAACCTACTACACAAAGCCACTCTATCAACACAGAGAGGTAGCCAAAATGCGGAGACACAGAAGCATGTCACGAATTAAAGAAATGGAGGAAAGCAAACTACTGAATGGCACAGAGTTCAAAACCACATTTATGAGGTTACTTAAGAATCTTCTAAAAACCACTGAGAAACTTGAAAAGACCTTCAAGGACCTCAATGAGAATGCCAAAAAAATGGAAAAGGACCAGTCAGAAATTAAGCATACACTGTCTGAAATAAAGAATATACAGAAACTCAACTGTAGATTAACGTTCCCCAAGAACCAAACCAAAGAATCAAAAAATATGAAGATAGTGTAAGGAGCCTCTGGGACAACTTTAAGTGTAACAAAATCCAAATTTTTGGAGTGCTAGAAGAAAAGAGAGAAAAATATTGAAAACCTATTAGAAGAAATAATGACAGAAAACTTTCCCTACCTGATGAAAGAAATTGATTTACAAGTTCAAGAAGCACACAGAACCCCAAATAAGAGGAATCCAAAGAGTACCACACCAAGACACATCATAATTAAAATGCTAATGGCAAAAGACAAAGAGAGAATCTTGAAAGCAGCAAGAGAAAAATAGTTAGTTACCTACAAGGGAGTACCCATATGACTGTCAGCTGATTTCTCAACAGAAACTATGCAGGCCAGAAAGAAGTGGCAAGAAATATTCAAAGTGATGAACAGCAAGAACCTACAACCAAGATTACTCTACCCAGCAAAGCTATCATTCAGAATGGAAGGTCAGATAAAGAGCTTCACATGCAAGAAAAAGCTAAAGAAGTTCATCACCACCAAACCTGGATTACATGAAATGCCGAAGGGTATTCTTTAAGAAGAGGAGGAAGAAGAAAAAGGTAGAGGTAAAAACTATGAACAACAAAAAGACGTACCTACCAACAAGTGAATCTAAAAATCAAGTGAATAAAAAGTCTGAAGAACAGAATGGACTGGTGAATATAATAGAATCAGGGACATAGACAGGGATTGGACTGACAATTCTCAGGGGGAAGGGGCCTGAGGGGTGCTGGAAGAGATTGGACAAAAATCTTACACCTATGGATGAAGACAGTGGCAGGAGGTAAGGGCATGGGGTGGGGTGGGGAATCAGGTTGAGGCGAGATATGGTGGGGGAGAGGGGGAAAAGGAAAACCTGTAATAATCTGAACAATAAAGATTTATTTTTAAAAATGTTACACAGCTCAGACCCAATCTAACAAGAAAACAAAATAAGTAATAAAAATAAGTAATAAAAATAACATAAAAGCAAGGACCAAAACACTACTAAATTATGTGACCATAGATTTGGTGGGAAAAAGAAAATCAACTGAAAAATTATCATACCAAAGTAAAAGTACTATACATAGTTAATGAATTCAAAAAGAAAATTTCAGACCAGAAATAACCAGTTAAGATTCCATTCTTATGACCTACTAATATAAGCAATAAAATGAATGAATCTCAAAAACACGTTGAGCAGAAGAGGTCAGGTTAAAATAGCATCAGAATGCCAAAAATTATACTCTTCTGAGTACCCAATAAAATAAGTATTAAAACAAAAACTTATGAAAATTTAAAGTATTTGTGTAGTAAGTCCAATGCCTGGGCTTCTTTAAGAACAGCTTCTATTAATTGTTGTTTTTTCTGTTTATGAACCATACTGTTTATTTTTATATGTCATAATTTATTGTTAAAAGACTTATAACAACCCAGGGAGCACTTATTCAATAAAAACGAATAAATTTCAAAAGAAATAATAAGTTTTTTAGTGTTTTAACTTGCCCTGTTCCTATACTTTGCTGTCCAGTTAAGCAGTAGCCTTGAAAAATAAAGATAATAATAAAATAAATATTCTAACAACTTGCAGCCATGTGAATATATAGGCTAATTACTTAAGGTTGGTCTCAACCTATTAATAGTGATGCAATCTGCTATAAATACCTGTGGGCTCTCACCTGGACTGATACTATTCCTGGTAAAACCCCACAGACATTTCCCTGACTGGAGCCAATGTTGTAACTATAATAGACCATATCTTTCATTCTTGTTATGATTTAAAGATGCACCTCAACAATTATTAGGGAACTTTGAAAAGGCTTATTACTTACAAGTCTAGATGGTGTACACATGCCCAGGGCCACAAAACAAGCAAAGGTGGGGGAGGGAGGGGGAGAGAGAGAGAGAGAGAGAGAGAGAGAGAGAGAGAGAGAGAGAGAGAGTAACTTTGGAATTTTTCCTTAATTGTGGTTGAGGCTGGGGTGCCCAGGATTCAAGGAATGTATTTTTATTGTGAATAAAAATGGGAAATAAGTTGTGGAAATGAAAAAAAATGAAGCTAGTTAAATGGTCAATTATTGAGATATCAGGAAGATGGCTGCTGACTGGAAGGCAGACTGCAATATAGTGCGTGAGTGAGAGAACAAAGGGAGGGTGTCTGGGTTGCACCAAGAGTGTTTGTTGGTGAGTTGAGAAATAACTATAATCCAGGGGACTGTGGGGGACTGCCAGATGGGGTTCCTCTGACCAGATAGCTTCCACTGCTGCTGGTATCCCTCATGGAGTGACCGGCTCTGACACGGAGACCATGCCATCTTAAAGGGGAGAGAGGCTGTTATCAGAAGACTGAAAATCCAAGGAATCTACAACTACAGCACCCAGCAAACAGCTGAAACACCAGTTCTCAAGTGGTACGAGCACCTGGATTCAGAGAAACTCAGCACCTCCTCACAGAAAGGTCAGCTATCATCTGGGATAAGGTGGAGTCTGCGGTCTGGGAAGGAGAGAGAAATGCTCACACAGGAGCTGGAGAACCCAAAAAAGTCCATGGCCATTTGGGCTGGCGTGATCTGCAAATGTGGAAAGGGATCTGCAGAGCTGCTACCAAAGCTGAACTGGGTGCAAAAGGACAGCCTAAAAATTTTAAAAGTGTGTTCGCTGCTTAGACTCAAAGGGAAAAAATACTGCACAGACTGGCACCAAAGTGCCAGAGTTCACACAGTTACTCTGGCTTTTTCTTTCTCTCATTTTTCCTCTCTCTTTAAATCCTTGCTTTTGATTACTAAGCCCAATACATAGGATCACCCAATTGGGGACACCCTAAGAGACTGCAGAAGAAAGTTGTTTTTGTGGAACCTGGTGTTCAGAGCAGGGAATAACAATCAGAGAACCAGCTCTGGGGCAGTTCATTCCCCCAAACCGGTATTAAGTGCCACAGAGAAAACAAAATCTAAACACTAGCTAGAGAGGACCTATAGACCTGGAGGTCAGTCCAGAAACACTGCCACCCAGGGGTTGAATCACAAATTGACTCTTGTGTAAACACAAATAAAGGAGAATAAGAAATACAGACATACTGCCTACTTCAAAATCAGGACTATGGTCTACAACACTGAGGAGCAATGGAACACAGGAAACTTCAAGATTGTCCTGACTAAGAAAGAAGTTTGCCAAACAGAACAATAGAGGAAGTGAATGACCTTCACTACTGCACATTTTTATTTTATTTTTTTCATCTTTTACTTAAGAAACTAAATTTTTTTCCTCACTTGATTTTACCTTTTTAACTATTACATTTTTATTTTCAATCAATATTATTACTACTATTATTTTACCTTTTTTAAAAAAGTGTCATTTTATTTTCTCTTTATTTTACTTTGGGATTAGTGTTCTACATTCTATTTTCATCTTTCCTTTAGCATCATTTTATTCTATCTCAACTTGACCTTTATACCAACACTCTCTTCCTCACTTTTCCACTTTTGTTGTCCTGTTTCTCTTGACCCATGCCTGCTTTAGATTTTCCCTATTCCTCTTTTTTACCTTCTGTTAAAATTTCACCCTACTTTTATATCTAAATTCCAATCCCCTGTTCTTAGTCCATACAAAACTCTCTCTTCTCTTTCTTCACTATGCAAATTTTTCTTCTCTTTGTCCTTTTGTTGTTGTTTGCTTCATTGTTGATTATATGAGTTTTTTTATGCTTGTGTATGAGATTCTTACACTTTTTTTAGTATTGTTTTTGTTTGTTTTTTTGCTTCTGTTTTCCCTCACCTCGCTTGATATTATTTGTAATTTGTATTCATCTCTAGGTATTAGTTGCTGACATTTGTTGGGATTAGTGGCTATTCTATTGGAGTTTTCTCCACATATAGTTTTTTCCCCTCTTCTTTCTTATTCTTTTTTTATCTCTTCCTTTTTTTCCTTTGCCCAATTTCCTTTTTGCACTTCTTTTTTTTTTCTCCTTCCCTCTTTCTTATCCTCTAATTTTCTTTTCTCTGGTAGCCACCTTTATTTAGGGTTATTTGTATTGTGAATATATTTGTGTTCAGTGCCTTGTGCATTGTGCCTTGTTATGTTGTATTTTGTGCCTTAAATCAATGTAGGAGAGAGAAAACTACATAACCAGATACCCATGAAGAGAGATCATAGAGAGACAGAAACAGCCCACATATGAAAGAAAAGTAGGCATCACCAGAAAAGGAAGTAAATGAAATGGATGCAAGCCACCTGTCAGAAAAAGAATTCAGAGAAATGGCCATAAGGTGGATGAAAAGAATGAAAGACAAATTCAACAATATGAGTAAGAAACAAGAGGAAATGAAGAAGAAACAACAAGAAATAAAAAGTGGCATTGCTGGTATGAAGAACGCAATAGAAATCATCAGCAGTAGACTAGAAGAAACAGAGGACCGCATCAGTTACCTAGAAGACAAAGTAGGAAAAAATACCCAAGTAGAGCAGTTTCTAGAAAAAATTTTTTTAAAAAAAACAGGAGAGCCTAAGGGAAATTTGGGACAACACAAAATGAAACAACATCCGCATAATAGGAGTGCCAAAAGGAGAGGAAACTGAGCAAGGAATAGAAAAACATTTGAGGAAATAATGACAGAAAACTTTCCTGATTTAGGGAAGAAAAAACTCACAAATATCCAAGAAGCTCAAAGAGACCAAAACAAAATGAACCCCAAAAGACTGATGCCAAGGCACATTATAATTAAATTGGCAAACACCAACAACAAAGTAAGAATCTTAAAAGCTGCCAGAGAGAGACAGAAAGTTACCTACAAAGGATCCCAAATCAGACTAGTGACTGATTTCTCAACAGAAACACATCAGGCAAGAAGGGAATTAAATGAAATATACAAAGTCATGCAAAGGAAAGGTCTGAATCCAAGAATACTGTACCCAGCAAGGCTATCAATAAAAATTGAGGGTAAAATCAGGACTTTCACAAACACAAAGGACTAAGGGAGTTTATTATCAACAAACCAGCAATGCAAGAAATGCTAAAGGGTCTGCTGTAAAAAGAAGAAATAGGAAACGCAGAAGGATCACAGGGGTAAAGAATAAAAATGGCAACAAACAAGTACCTATCAATGATATCTATAAATGCCCCAATCAAAAGACATAGGGTAATGGATTGAATAAGAAAACATGACCAATATATCTGCTCTCTAC